GGAACTGTCAACGCTCTTGTTTTGAAGGCAGAGCTGGGTTAAAGAGCAAATCTAATCTGTGAGACGAGCAGCAGACGACAGGATGCATACGTGTATATAGAAACTGAATTCATGACTGTTTTTACACGTCTTTTAAACCACTTTAAATACAACTTGAAAGCAAACTTGTTCTGGTTACTCCTCTAAACGATATCTCACCGTCTCCCCGAGCATGTCCAGCTGCAGTATAATCGTTCATTTCAGGGAATATCCGACACATCTATCGCCTTCTTCATCTAAAAGGTTTCCATTAATGAAAGCCTGATGCCGTGTGAACTAGAAAGCACAGCCTGCATGAACCTGCATGAACCTGCACGATGCAGTCACACTGGATGATCCAAGTCCGACTGAAAATCTAAACCGTGTGCAGAGGCTTTCCCAGTCTGAATTCATTTGCCTGACTATTGATCTTACTGTGATTTGCTTTGATTCCTGGAGAGGTTGTGGTTTGTATGTGCCTCAGAATCTTGTATTGCCTGAGCTAAGTTCTGTTCTGGTTCTTGTGTACTTGTTCTTTTTGTCATTGTCTGTTACTATGAACAAAATCCTAATAAAAATATATTTTAAAAAAAAATGTGCAGAAACTCACGTGCCATCTGACTAAAGTCATATTGACTTGTAGACCCATCTGAACTAGATTTAAGGCATCTCAAGTAATATGTGTGTTTTAAACATTTTCCAAGACGTGGACATGTCTGAGCCATCACCCTTCATTTGCATCCACTTTAGAGACAACCGCGTTACTCTGATACACTCAATCTCATTCTTTAAATAACACAGTAGCTGCTCTGTGCTGATGTGACGCCCCGTTATGCAGTAGTGAGAAACTAAAGTTAGCCTTACCTCACTTCCTGTGAAATGGCACGGAGGAAGAGCCGGGGCTTCGCCTTGATGTCTGCTGGGAAGTTTTCCAAAGTGATACTTGGCCAAATCAATGAGCTCGTCATGACAGACACCTGATCAGAGAGGGAGCGAGTCCTGGAGATCAGATCAACTTTACTCTGGTTCAGAATTTATTGCATACTTTGAGCAGTGCTCATGCATCAGTGACTGTTTGTTGCAGGTTTACAGAAAATGTTAACGAAACGTGAGCAGAAAACAGCTCTAACCTCCAGCAGCAGCCAACACTATTCTGGGTCCTTTATAGTGAGCAGTGATATACTCCACCAGGTCTCCTCTGTTGATGGTCCTGCGTCACAAACACACAGCAAGAAGCTAAGCTGTGCAGGATGCTTTCAGCAAACCTCAGAGTACTTTGTGTTTTTTAGGTGTTTGGTCTCACTTGATGTTCTCAGTGGGGCCCAGGATGGTTCTTCCCAGCGCTGTGGACTGGTACGCTGTAGCATGCAGATAATCAAAGACCACCTCTTGCAGATTGGTCTCCACTTCCTGCATCTCTCGAAGGATCACCCCTCGCTCCCTCTCGATCTCCGCCTCTCCCAGCATGCTGTTCTGGATGATGTCAGCCAGAATCTCCACAGCTTTGACACAGAGAGATATTTTATTGTGCTTTAACACATTCCAGGTTTTTCGTTTGAGATGTTGCCATGTAACATTCAGCCCCTCTGCCCTCCCGTACCTCTCGGAAGATCCTTGGAGAAAGCTTTGGCATAGTAAACAGTCTGCTCGCGGGATGTGTAGGCATTGAGGTGAGCCCCCATGTTCTCGATCTCCAACTCCAGATCAAGCTGAGAGCGTTTCCTGGTGCCCTGTCACACATTTATACAGACAAAGTGAACAAAGTCTTGAATGTTACTTTCATTTATAAAGAAACTCTGAAATATTACATTTATGTCATTATTTTGTTATTATACTGCTGTGAACTATTAGAATGCATTCTTCACTCTCTGCATAGGCCAGATACATTCAAATAAAGACCACTGCTTTAAAAACTTTGCTGCGTAGCTGCCATCTCACCTTAAATGCCATGTGCTCCAGAAAGTGCGCTGTGCCGTTATTTCTCTCGTTCTCATAGCGACTCCCGGCATCTATCCACAAGCCCACCTGGAACAAAGCAGGAATTAATATCCGCTTCCACAAACTGCTGCTACTGTACCACAACCCCACATCTCAGCCTGTAGTGGCAAAGCTAGCAGATGCTAACATTTTTTGTCATGCCTATTACATTTGGCTGGCTGCTTCACAATGGTTATGGTATTTTAACAACATATTTACGTGCATGTATTAAAGCAGCCTGTTTTAAACTGTTTACTTCCAGCTTACTGTGCAGGTGGGGAGCCCCGAGTCCTCAGATGCCACCCGGAGTCCGTTCTCTAAAGCAGTCACCTTGGTTTCAGGAACATTTAGCGCCACCTGGTGAGCAGCTTGGGTGGCCAAGAGTCTGTGCGGTCCAGCAGTGAACTACGGGAGAAGGACAGCCAGTCACCATGACGCTTCAAAACTACGTTTGCTGCTACCAGTCAGCGATAATGAATAAATCTGCCCCATTGGCGGTTCTGTTACACAGGGACATCCAAACATCACAGTAGGAGTTGATCACGTGATAGCTAAGCTAGCTTAAATAGCTGTTCGCAAACAAGCCGGCCATGCGCAGAGCTTTTCCTCTATGACACTGAGCACTGGCAGCTGTCACGGGCATATCAATTAAATGAGAAACTCCAAACATGACTATGAATCAATTCTTCTTACCCTGCTTATCGAATTCTTCTTCAGTAAATGTCTTTGTAAGAAAAATCTCCCAGCAGACGTGAGGCACTGTACGGACATTGCCATATTGTTTATCTGTAACGGTGCCGTTCTGCTGACGCAACATCCGCCGGAGATGACGACTTACTTTTTTCATAGTAGGGAAAAAATACCACAGGATTTGATGACAACCGCACAAAGAAATCTATTCTTACACTCTCCTTAAACCAATAAAAAACAGAGATAAACACACCTGAACAAATAACTTTATATTTCAGACATTGATCAACCTATTATATGGAAATATGAAAATTGCTGCCACACGACTAACTGCCTATGTGACCTATTGGTTTGCACGTTAGCTGTAAATAAAGTATTGAAGTAATATATATTTACATTTAGGATACTTCTCAACCATATTTGACGTGGTTCGTTTATAACGAACGTTCTAACGTTTAATCGCTTTTGTTTATTTTGAAAGGGTGTCAGAATTTGAAGGCGGAAGTGTCGGTTTAGCCTAGCGCGGATTTTCTTTCTGTGAGTTTCAAGTTGGTCTGTCAGCTTCTTCCTAGCAGTTCAGTGTGTGACTGAAATAGTAGAGCAAGGCTGAAGTCCAGCTGTATACAGAGCAGAAGGCCTGCTGCTGTAGCCTGCACTGGAGGTATTTCCTCTGTAACCCGGACTTAATTAATTCTCTGTTGGGTTCAACGGTGTCGTTAGCCGCTAACGGTGCAGCGTTAGCTGTTCACGCTAATTAGTGGCCTCAACTTTAGCCGATGTAATAAAACAGGAGTGTACGGCCATTAGCTTCGGTGTGGCTTTCAGACAAGAAATGGCGGGAGGCAGAGATCTCATGGACGGTGACCTGGAAGATGGAGAGATCTCTGGGTCCAGCTCGGATACTGAGATGGGACCAGCCACAGCAGCACAAGAAGCTCGACCCCAGGTTCCCCCGGCTTTCTGCGGCCAGTCTTTCCAGAACAGAGCCTATGCTCAGACACTTCCAGCCGCAGCTTATCGCAGCACAGGTAGGACGGCAGAGTCTAGTGACAGTGACCCGGAGTCCTCTGACGAGGAGGCGGCTGTTTGGCGCCGGAAACGCCAGAAAGTGTCCAGTGCTCCACAGCCGCCTGCATGCAGCGCCCGGCTAGGGCCGACCCCTGTGCCCGCCCAGGGGACGACGGGTGGCCGCAAAGTGAATAACATTTGGGGCTCTGTAGTACAAGAGCAGTGCCAGGACGCTATCACTGCAGAACTTGGCATATTTGGCATGGATGGTGTTGGCATGTCCACCAGGAATGTGGAGACTTATAATTTCGTCCTAGCTCGGAAGATAATGGAGAAGGAGAGGGAGATGGAGGCACAGTCAAAGGAAGGAGGAGAAGTGAGCATGCTGGATGCTGAGCTGGAGGAGTACATGAAGGGTAGGGGGTCAGAGGAGAACACAGGAGGTGATGCAAAGAGAAAGAGACCTGCAAAGGAGCGGCTGGGCCCCAGAGCAGAGATGGACATCAAGGGCCGCTATGAGATCACAGAAGGTGACCCAGATGATAAGGTGATAGAGGAGATTGCGTTCAGGCTGCAGGAGCCCAAAAAGGAGCTGATCACTCGAGTTGTCAAAGTAGTTGGCAAGAAAAAAGCCATAGAACTTCTCGGAGAGACCGCCACCCTGGAGGAGAGTGGCGGTGTGTACACCATGGACGGCAGCAGGCGCCGGACACCGGGTGGGGTGTATCTCAACCTGCTGAAGAACACCCCCAGTATCACCAAGGCCCAGATCAAGCAGATATTCTTTGAGGAACAGGTGAAGGAGTACAAGAGCAAGAAGGCTGCCCAGAAGAGGAGGCGGCATTTGGTGGCCAAAAAGATGAAGCAGGCCATTGGCACCCTAAACCTGCAGGAGCATGATGACGTCTCCAGAGAGACTTTTGCCAGTGATACCAACGAGGCTTTGGAGTCTCTGGAGGAAGCTGCAGAAGACGAGGAGGCTCAAGAGGAAGCTGCTGTGGGCACTGAGGAGACAGCAGTGGTCTACAACGCTGCAGACCTGGAGGTGTTTTGAAAATAGCCTGCTGTCTGAACAACGATGTTAATGAAACACTGAAAGCACTGAATATGTGATTGATTCAAAATCCACACTGGTGTCCTTTTTTGTTTTTTGTTTGAAACCTTAGCAATAAAAGCAGCGCTTCTGTTAACAAATAGTTACAGCATGAACATGTTGATTGGAGCTTTTGCCGTTCAAATGTTGTTTTGCCTTTTAAAACCAGTCCTTCTCAACAAAATGATGTTGTGAGAGTCAAATTCATAACCATTTGTTGCTGTAAGTGTCATTATACAAACAGGTCTTGAGTTATTACTTTCATGGATGCACCTCGGTGTGGAAAATAATAAAAGTGGTGACTCAGGTAAAAGAATTAAAAAACTGTAGGGTTCTTTTTTTGTGCACTCACTTCCAAACACAAAATAACATAAATGTTATATAAGGTGAGTTTTAGTGTCATCAGATCAGGATTCCTGTACTGACATTCATACCAAGTGGGGCTTCTCAAAGAAAACAAAGGCATTGAATGGCTGATGTAAAAGTGCTGAAGTGTCCACTAGATGGCAGCCATGTTCCAACTTCTGCAAGAGTGGAGAGCCCTTTTAGTCCAAGGCTGTATATAGAAAGAACCCTTAACCGTTCCGTACAGCATATATAAAAACGTATAATATAAAAGAATAACTCAAGAATTAAACTGAAAAATGCAAAACTGCATTCATATGAAGTGCTGCCTGCTATAGTAAAGGTTAAACTACCAGGTCACAGGTGTCCTGTTTAATTTGTATAACTCTGGTACAAATGTACACAGTCTGCCTGGCTCAGGCGTGTCAAACATATGGCCTGAGGGCGAGAATCATGCACACGTGATTATGAAAATGTAAAGGAGAAATTCTGTTTTTACAATGAAAAATAAATATATTCATCCATTGAGCACCACAAATGATAAACATCCACCACGTTAGACCTTTCACATTTGTCATTCTTTATGCAGGTGGTTAGGACAGAGCGTACTCGTAAATGACATCCTCATCTCCAACTTAAACATCTCTGCACTGATGAAAATGTCAGTTCCTGCTTTTGTTTGTTTTGTTTTTTTTTGCGACACCACTACTCAACGAGTGGTGTCTTAAACAGGAATCCTAAATGTCAGCTGAAGAATGATGATTTCTACAAGAAAATCCTGAAAAACCATCGGCTCACGCCCTGAAGCTGAAGCACATTTAGGTCATGCATCAGTACAATGATCACACGTCAGCAATTAGTTTTTCACATAAGACCAGGTGGGTTTGGATAGCATTTTTTCCTTTAATAAATGAATACACCATTTACAAACTGCACTTTATATTTACTCAGGTTATCTTTGTCTAGTATTAAAATTTGTTTGACAGTTATGCAAAAACCAAACACGTTTGATTCAGAGGAATCAAATATATGTTTGTTTTTTTAGAATTTGTGAAACCTGTGCTGTGCTTTCAACATCTGCAAAGGCCCAAAACCTGAAATCTGAAGACACAAATCTTGGTTGAGGTTCACTAACACTTTGTTTTACAAAGT